TTTAAACTTAAAAACCTTTATAACACACGCTATAAATTGCAGTGATTCACACACTTTACTTACGGTGCCTACTGTTCGCTTAACTCAATTATCTCTATCTTCAATCTATCTGCCTATCTCTGCGATTTTATCTGTCCAATCGAGCTGGTTTTTCTCGCCAGGCTTATATGCTAAAAATAGGGCGCCTCGAACCAACTAGAGTTGCCAAGAAAATTCATGATCCTTCTAGAAACTGCAAAGCCCATGCTTCCAGCGTCGCGTGACTTCCGCTGTCGTAACAGTATTAATCAAGTAAATTTCTGTTCAACTATATTAGTGTATTAGGCCTACAGTAATTTCAAAAGTTGTAGAACTTTGTCCTAAAACTTGCGTCAAATAGTTACCGTTACGTGGACTGAACTTGGTATTATTTTTACTATAAAAATTCAAATGAGCCTGTCCAGTGACAGAACACGTCACAGTACAAAACAGTGGATCAACAATGGATACTAACAAGTTAATACAAAACAACTGAACAACAATACATACCAACATGTTAATAAAAAACAACTAATCAACATTGGATAACATGTTAATATAAAACAGCTAATCAAAAATGCATGCCAACATGTTAATGTAAGACAGCGGATCAACAATACATAACAACGTGTTAATACAAAACAATGAATCAACAATTGATATACTTTCTTACAGAACAACAAGTTATGTGTATCATAGTTAGGCTTTTATTTAAAGTGTGTAAGGTGTAATAAATGTCTGAAATTTTAAGTTTTGCAGTAGCAAAATTTTCCTTACTCACTAGTTTTCCTTATCCTAAAAATAGTTAGTTGATTATAGTGATTGACTTACTTCCAACATCTTGCTTGTGAATTCTGTTCTTGTCAGGAATCAACACAGTGTCCACAAATGTATCACTAGGAGGAGTTTGTTCACTCGACTCGTTCACTTTATTCATTAGCAAATTGTTGTTGATATTGATATTTAAAAAATCAGAATCAGGGTTCTCCAAATTGGAACTACTAAAATGACCATCTTCACCACTAGAGGTCCTGCTTTCGTTCATCCGTTGAAGCGTTGAATTTCCTAATAGGTTTACGACAAGTTGGTTAATGTTCCTAATTTTACTCTGTTGTTTTACTCTGTTGTTCTGGGATGGCTGCAAAACAACACCATCGGGTTTTAACTCTGAACGTTTCGTTATTAATAGTTTATTATGATGCCGATTGCTTGTCATAGGCTCTAAATTTTGCATTTCGTTGAACACTAGAAGTAATTTATTTTCTAGAGTGGCAACTGATGACTCCCATGTTATTGTTATTACAAAAATATAAATAAATGTCCATATTGTTCTTGGATTGTCACTAACGTTGCTCATGGTTTAAGTTATCTGTGGCAGTCTGGGAAATCTTCAGCTTTGGAGGTCCTTAGGACAAGATTCCTTGTTTAAGAATTTAATAAGAAACGTTTGGAAGCCTTGTTCCCTGTATTTCAGAAGAAGAAGAAAATGTTATAGCTTATGATTATAAACATTTATTTATGATACAAAGTTATTATCCTTATATTTTGAACATGTTAAATATTATAGGTATTGTTACGCCTCCAGTCGTTAGTTAATTTTCCGTAACTTCGTTCCGACGAAACTTTAGCGACACAAGTCCTTTCTTAATAAAACTGGTTTATTCTTTCTGAATATAACTTTGCGATACACTTAATTTCAACAGTCGCGCTATAACAAACGTCTCACGTGCTCGACTTCAACAATACTCAATTACATACTCTCTGACTGCAGTTCAATTACTCATTACACTGTTGTTCCTTCACGTTGTGACCATCTTATATATACCAGACTACCCCCAATCTAGTAAATGCTAGGAACAGGATATTTCTAGAAAACGTGGCGTGACACTAGTCACGTGACCTCTCTGACGCAACAGTATAGTTCAGAGGTATTTCTAATAGTTTATTTTAATGGTCTCTGTCATTGAACGGGTGGTTTTTTTCGCATACTTCAATAAACAAAATAATAATAATTACTGTTATCATTTAATTACTTGCTAATTAAGTAATGGAAAGTCCTGCCTACTTACCAACAGTAAACATTTATTTAACTTCAGATTCCGCGGTTAGCCTAACTAACACACACCGATAAACTTAACTCCACAATAAGCGCTAAACAAGTAGTTTCACTTACTTGCTGATCAAATAATGGAAAATCCAGTCTACTTACTGATAGCAAACATTTTTTCAACTTCAAATTTCGCGATTAATGAAACTACCTCGCACAGGTAAACTTACATCCGTTACAAGAGTAATCAGAGAGATTTCATACTCTCGCCCCGCCGCTCTTTTTCGAGATCTCATGCTGTCTGTCTGTGTTTCCACGCGCGTATCTAGAAAACTAATAGACCACTGAACACAAAAATTTTACATAAGCTGGGAAGTCAGTATGGAACAATCCCCCCCCCCCCCCCAAACTTTGGTCGGATCCAGATTCTAGATCACTTTGAAGCATAGTTATAATGATCTGGATCGTTGATCATTCTGGATCTGAGAAGGATTTTCTGAGTTTTCGAAGATACAATTTGACGTTATCTAATATAAATGACACACACACACACACGAACCCGATTGCAATAGCCTTTCCCCGAAGGTAGTAAACGCTAAACAGATAGTTTCACTTATTTGCTAATTCTCTCGTATCTCCATTTTTTTCGTTGAAACACAAACTTAATATTCAATGCACTTAACTAACCAAAGTAAATAACTAACCAACTCATTTACTCCAGAACTTTCTCTAGCCTACTTCCTTCTATATATTGTTAAAAAGTTCACTTAAAACAATGATGAACAGTCCTTACACTGATTTGAATAACTGGTTTACCACTTGCACAAAATATTTAACATTCCCAAACAAAAACGGATTCAGGCCTAACTACGTAGTTTTTCGGTTACGTAATAAAATTGTTTCTCTGATGTTGTAATCTTGATTTACTCACTAAAGAAACCATAGAACTCCTGTAAAAACTTAATTTACTGGGCTATATATATATATCTAAATCTTAATCAAAATGATTCCAAATCCCAAAACTGAATACTTAAGATTTCACCAAACAACGTCAATGTTTTATATCCAGTAATTTCCAGCATTCCTTAAACATTGCTGACACAAAGTTACTCCCTTGCCAGAATGAAGTTCCATGGGTAAGACGAAGCTTGTGAAGAACTAATTAACCAACACTTATAGCTGTAGCTGCATCTTGATTGGGATTGTATAAGTGTCTGGTCACTTTGTAAAATAATCCATTGCTACCTGTATATACCTGTTATCAGTGGCGGCTTTTGACAGGAGTGATATGATGTCAATTGCCTGTCTTTCCATTGGTGCTCTAACTTGGTACAGTTTGAGCATTGCAGTCTTCAATTTAGATGGCCCCATGTTTGCATCACATACTTTACATGATCATTACTATTCCTCTACATCTTATCTCATGCCACTCCAGTAGAACTTTTCCTGAAATCAACCAAGTGTCTTCTTCATTCTGAGATTCCATCATGTTACTCTAAGAAAATGGCTGCTTGCATTGTCTTTGGAATTCCTGATTGCCAATACCCTTTTGTCCCATCTTCTTTACAGTATACCAGAATGCATATGTAACATGTTCCACTGAGTACTGTATGATTTGTTCTTCAGGTTTTTGTAAGATATCTTCTCCCATGCTAGCCTTTCTGGTGACTCCTCCATGTGTGTGTGATAATGGGTCTCATATCTTGGTCTTTTGAACAACTCAGTATCTGGATTACTACTTCTGGAAACAGCAACTTGTTGACACATATAATGTTGTTCTTTTTTCTCACAATGCTTGCATTCTTCTGTGCAATGTTATTGACAATGATTGTCTGCACTACAATGAGCCCAACCTGCACGGTATTTGATCTGGTAACGGTAATGCTAATTGTCCCTTGGGTCTTTTAAGGCTATGAAGCCAGTGTTAAACAGCATGATTTGTCTGAATCAGCAATGGTTTTTCCATGCAAATAATGATGAAAATTACGAAATTATGTAAAATACTCATCATATCCAACAGTTATTTTATAGTAACACAATAATTACATTCAAACGTGCTCAATGTTCTGCTGTAATATTCTATTACATTCTCTTCTTCGTGTTATATATGTGATAGGATAGCTCTTATACCACAATTACTGGCATCTGTATCTAGTATGAATGATTGGGTCTGGATCTGGGAATGCTAAGACAGGCATTAACGTCAGGGCCTTTTTAACCTGTTGAGAGTTATCCATCATTTGTTAGATTGAAAAATGGTTTGGCTATGTTTGAAAATCCTGGAACGCACTTTTGCTAGTAAGAACACAGGCCAATGAAACTTCTTAGCTGACTCATTTTGTTAGGTCACGGCCAATTGTTAGTTACAGTTATCTTTTCAAAATCTGTTTCCACACCATCCTCACTAACACGTCCTAGATATTTTGTCTCCTTCTGAAATAACTGACATTTCTTTGGGTGTAATTTGAGGTTAACTTTGTGTAACCATTGGAAAACTTCTTGTAGTTTTTTACTTCGTTTTGGAAGGTGGTTTTCCAATGTAGACCATCCACTGTGAGTACCATGAGTCGTTCAAATGTTGTTGAATTACAGAACCCAAAAGACGTCACTTAGAACTGGTATAATCCTCCAAAGGAAAATGATGTTTTCTACATATTTTTATTTGCCATCTTCACTCGATGGTAGCCCAAGTACATATCTAAGATATAAAATCATTTGGTGCCTATCAAAGCTTCCAATGTGTCATCAATCCTTGGAAGAGGATATGAATCCTTAACTGTAATTCCATTAGGATCATGGCAATAAATATAACAATGGGTGGATACATCTTTCTCATCAGTAGAAACATTTGAAGACCACGGAGTTTGTGACTTCTCAATAGTGCTTGATGATTGATATCCTAGACAATCTTCAGTTTTTTCTTTTTCCCAAAGGAAGTAATTTTAGTGTTTGTTACCAGTATATATTCAATGTTCTGTAATGTAGGTACTGTCAAAATCATTTGGTTCTTTGGAGAAAATATTTGCATTGACTTTTTCATTTCTTGCTGCTCCATCGATTACAAATACATACAGTTTTGCTCATACAACTCCTGTAGATTCACTGGGAGATCTCCAGTTAATTTTATTCTCTAGGCTCACTGACAGTTACATTGTTGCAAGATACACAATTTCTACCAGTTCACACTGTCCATTCTTCAACTTCTGAGCACTATTTGAGAAACTTTCATCAACTATAGGAAAACATTGTTAGTTGGGATCCACCATGGTATCCCCAACCAATATTCCATCTGAAAATCTCGCATCAGGATGTTTCTCCACATCTATAGATTCCTTGAATTCAGAACCAGTGGTGTCACAATAAATTACCATCTCAGACTCAGGGAAGATGGCTATACCATTTTTACTATTACCTTAGCTCTCTAAGTAGGTTTTCTTGCTTCAACAGCCTTAGTAGCAGCTTTACCCCGTAAATTTCCAGTGCCAACTCTTCAAAGTTAAGTTTGCACCCACTTTTAATAAGGCAATTTATTTTCTATGTCTGTAGTATAGACTTTTCAGCATGATCACACATTCTTGAATATTCAAATTAACTTCTCAAGGACCATTCAATGGCCATAAGTGTCCAGTTACTTCACTAAATTTTTTTTCGCAGTCTGGGAAATACCCCTGCCTTAAGACTTCTGATTCTACCCAGTATCTACAGTCACTTGATTTCTGCTGCCATACACATAAGTGTTTTCCTCTCCACCCTTCGTGGGTGAGGTATAACATTGGCTGGTCTGAGCCTTACAAGAGCAGACCTCAATGGTTTAACAGTTGCTGCCACCTCTCTGGAACGCCTATCTTCTTCATAAACCAACATTCATTCTTGTAATGACACCTTTTCCCACAGTTATACCACTCAATATTTTAGTTGTCTTTCTGGTTTTTCCTGTTTCAGATGATTTATTGAGTATCGTTTCTTCTAGTTGACCAAAACCCATCTTTTCCACAGCTTTGTTCACCTATATCACCAAGTTTTCCTATTTTGTTTTTCAAATTTCCTGGTTTCTAGCTTGTCTATCTGTAAAACTATTCCTGTTGTCACCACTAATCATTCTGTTTTGTTGGCTGTAGCTTCTTGAACACTGACAGTCGAGCTTGTGGATTTCTAATTTGCCATTCTTTAGAGCGTAAAGGAATTGATCTCGTAACAACATTTGCAAGAAGCTTGGTTCCACAGCTGGATAGGCATAATGGGTAAGATTCTCTAGTTCCTGCATCAACTGTTGTAGTGCTTCCCAGTGTTGTCTCCCCTTGTTCTGAACTTGGCTCGATATGCCTCTTCTTAGCATATAGCCCCAAACTTTCGCCCTAAATTTATAATTAGAGATATTTAATCTTGCTAGATATGGACTGACAGGTGAT